TCTCCTCATTGTTGGTGGAGGAACTCCTACATTCATTGGCATAATGGCCATATTTGTGACAAGCATAACATTGAATATTGGACTTGTCATACCTTCTTCCACTTCCTCTCTTTGAACCATAATTTCCACGTCCTCGTGGTTGATTGCTCGACCCTTCATTGTTAAAATTTTGGCCACCTTCATTTCTTCCTCTTCCTTGGCCACGGCCAAAATTTCCTCCTCCACCACAACCATGACTTCAGCCTTGACCTCAACTTTGACCTCTTCCTTGAGATCGTCCATGCTCTTGCTCTTGTTCTCCCAAAGAGACCTTAGTTTGGAGAACTTGGGCCATTGGTTCTTGCTTCCTTTTAAGTATGTCTTCATATGTTTGTAAGGACCCCATGAGTTGATCAAGGGTCATGGAATCCAGGTCATTTGATTCTTCAATGGCAACACTCACAAACTCAAGTTTTGAGTCAAGTGACCTGAGAATCTTCTCCACAACACGTACATCTTCAATCTTCTCTCCATAACGCTTCATTTGATTGACAATGGAAGACACTCTAGTAAAATAGTCGAAAACAGATTCAAACTCCTTCATATGTAGAGATTCAAACTCACTACGAAGAGTCTGAAGGCGAACCTTCTTCACTTTGTCAATTCCTTTAAAATTATTCTCAAGAATCCCCCAGGCTTCCTTAGCCTTTGTTGCAGTAGCAACTTTCTCAAACAGAGCTTCATCCAAGCCCATGTGTATGATAGAGATGGCATGTTGATCTTGCTTTCGAAGCTTCTGCAAAGCATTCTTCTGATTTTGATTCAAGACTCCTTCATTCTCTGGTTCATCATAGCCTTTCTCAACAACCTCCCATGCTTCCTGTGAGCCAAGCAATGCCTTCATGCGGATACACTAATGTCCATAATTCTCCTTTTTAAGTTTGGGAACTACAAAGGGAAAAGTACTATTCATCTTTGGAAGTTAGCTTTGATACCACTTTGTTGGAAATAAAGATTTGGTAGGAAAGACTGGAGAAGAACACAAGAAGAAACTTTTCAGAAACGCTTCCTTATTCTTGGCTTGGATATATCAATGCTCAAGTACAAGCACAAGCCATTTTATAGGCACAAAAGACTCTAAACCCAAAACAGTTCAATGCAACTCCTAGAAACTGTAAAGATAAAATAAATGGGTACATGAACTATGCAGGTACATGACTAAAAATAGGAGATTAATAAATCAAGTTTATTTTTCCAATAGCTCTCTCACCTTCTTGTCGTTGGCCACTCAAACCACTCCACGATTGAGTGAATTGGGTTTGCTGTGCGACACTATCTATGTAGTTGCTTTACTTTTCTTCTATAGAACGCGTGTTAAAACCATAGACCGAACAGTGATCCGCTGGGAATCAAACCCACGCCATGCCATCCCTCTTCCCTTCTTTTCGACACAACCTCCTTCTCTGTTCTGGTAAAAGTTTTGGTTTGTGTTTCCTTGATCTTCGTCTTGTTTCTTTTTTCATGGCTATAATCTTTTATCTTCTCTTGGATTTGCTTCATTGTGATTTGCTATTGATTTGAGGTTTTAGGGTTTGATTAGTAACATACCATGATTTTGGTGTTTGATCAGCTAATGGGTAATTTGGAATTAGGGTTTATGTACCTGCTTTTTGGTTTTGAGTCTTGATCTTGAAATTTAGTGCTCATTTGTGTCCTCTAGGTGGATTTTTAGCTTCAAATTGCTTAGGATCTTTGTTTGCCTGAATCTGCAGTAACTAGAAAGTTGTTTTAATGGTGGGCATGTTTGCTATATGGATTTGTTTGTCTACTTTAACTGCACTTCTAATGTTTCATCTTGATTGTGAGTTGGTTATGCCATTGAATTTTTTAGGTTGGTTTTTTTTTTTTTTTATACGCGTTTCGACATTGTTTAGGAAAAGAATAAATAATGTTGTTTTTGTTCCAGTCTTCTAAATTAGTAAATTCTGATCTCTTGTTCATAGATTAATCTTCTGTAGTGGTAGCAGTAATCATACACTTATACTACAAGGACTTGCCATAAGTTTAGATTTTTTTATGTGACAGTTATGGTCTTCATTCAACATCAACATGCCATGTTCTCTGTTAGCTTATACTTGCTTTGGACTGGATTGACTAAGAGTAGAAGTAACTCCTTTCATTTGTTGGGTTTAGGAGGCTGTAGTGCGAACCACCTTGAACCATTTACTTAATGGACATCGGATGTGTTTGGAATTGCTATGAAGTGTTGTGGTTGTGATTGTATTGAATTATGTTGTGCTATAACTGTGATTGAAAGTTATTTTGGTGTATGATTATTTATTTTTTAAAAGTATTATAGATAAAAGATGATAGGTTTTATTAATTATTAATTAAAATTTAAAAAATATTTTAAGATATATAATTATTAAAATATA